ATCTTCCTTTGATCCCAACCTCTCTGTTAAAACTTCTAAAACTTTCGTCCAATCTTCTATCACCCTTTCTGCCACTAAAACCACCCTCTTCTCCCAGCTCCCTCTCCCTTCTTCCACTGCTACTCGTCGGATGACAGACGAGCTGGACACCAAAACTTCAGGGTGAAGCTTTGGGCGGACCACAGAACAAACCTTCGAGCCAAGGGTTTCTTCTACTCTACTTTCGACCTCCAAGAGAAAAGCCTAAAGATTAGAAGCGAAAGAAGCCCACCCTCTTCGCTTCAGACCTTCTGGAATACACATCACTTGCTTTTTGTTAAAACCAAAGAGTCCGGTGACCATAATGAACCACCCTTTTCCATTCCTTTTTAGCACAGCTTCAAACCTCTTGTTCTCACAGGTCAACGAGTTTCTCCAACCTTCTTCTCGAAAGGAATTTATAGCTCCATCTACAAAGCCTTTCAGCCACACACAGGCCTCCTCTGTTAGAAGAATCGACACCCTGCTCCCTTCTCTGATTTTCAATAGAGCCTTCCCCTTTGTCCTTCCTTGCTCAAAGAGGAAAGATTTTGCTTCAATGGACAAATCTAGTCTCCATTTCCCCGCCAGCTTGAACTTCCTCTCCTCTCCCATGCCTAACTCGATGGACTATTTCAAGTATTGGATGAAGCAAAGATGGTGGGAGTAGGAGAGGACAAGAGGAAAGTGCTCCGGAGCCATTTTCTTAAGCTCAGACTGGTTACCACATTTTAGACCTAACCTTTGGCATCTTTTTAAACAAAGTGGCCGCTCTCAGACTCAAACCTATGTTATTCAAACTTGTCAGCCCAAGATTTTAAAGTATCCTTCATGATATCATCCGCTCCAAAAAAAAAATAATAAAAAATAAAAAAAATAAGAGAGATGATTAGTTCTTTATGGAAACCATCATTTTGGTTCTCATTCAGTAATTGGTTACTGTTTCACCCCCAAACCATCACCTGTAAAAACCTGGTGACCCAGTCAGCTGAATTGCTGCTGACCCATTTGACTCAGTGGGTCATGAGTTAAGACATTTATTCTTTATTTTTTTTATTTTAGACATCTCCATCATTAATAACAGTAATTCTCATTTATAACACTTACTTAATTTAGTATGCTAAAATATGTAATATTAGAGACATTTTTGCTGCAATTTTTTTTGTAATTTTATTTTTAAATTTTTATTATAGAATTTATGACATCATGGGTTGACCATTTTGACATTGACTTTTTTTCTGCACTGACCCACCACCCAGACAGAAAAGCGGTTTACCATTTCAGGTCAGTTTTAAAAACATTGCTCTGAACCATTTTCATCAATTGGCAGCTGAAAAACCTTGGTGGTTTTTGGCCCCCATTTGGAAATATTTAAGCTCTGGTTGAGTTGCTTTCAAGAAGCCACTGAAAGAAGCTTGAACGCAGAGCCATGCAAGTGACTGAATAATAATCAGTTTGCTCTCTGAATTTTCACCAAATATTACTTGTATGCTTTTAGAGTGGGCCCCACTGACAAAGCCAAAAGTAGCAGAGTGAAAGCCCTCCTAAATGGGCACTGTAATTGTTGAGCAGTAAAGCCTAGCATTTATGATTGTCAGCCACTGACATAACCCCAGTAGTGTCTCAGAGGAAGTAGAGATGAAAGGTGATAAGACAATCATATATCCTCAGATTCCACATAAACAAGGGGCCATTACTTGGTGTAATAGTAAAATCCTAGGTTGACAAGCGAGATAACACAGGTTTGAATATGAGGACAGCCACTTTGTACAGAGAAGTACCAAAGGTTAGGACCGTACCCAGTCTACTGCTCCTGAGACCCCAAATGGTTGGGAGTCTTGGGACCAACATTGGGTAATGGTCATAGGTTACACCTTAAGAACAGCTGTCACAATTAATCCTTAGGCAACTAAAAGTTGACAAGTCCACTTTCTGTATAAGAAAAAGGAATGAGTTAAGGTAGGCAGCCATCTTACCAGAAGAATGTGCTTTCGTGATGGGTGAATATCAATGGAGTGTACAATTTCAGACATATTCCCTCGACCCCTGCAACAACATCATTAGTTGATGTACATCATAACAGTAAATAACAAGCACATTCTATAGAAAGATGCATAAGCATCTAATCCAACATAAACAAACAGGTTAAGCAAAAGAGTGTTTAGGAAACAACAAACCTGCATATTATACAAGGATAATATCAAGGCCAACTAAACTTAAGAAAAGATTCCCTTCTCTCTTATCAAATAGTGTTGTAATTTGGTGTACGTGTATGTATGACAACCTTGTATAGGTAGGTATTCAGGTTATATTAGGGGGGGTGAGAGTACGACTGGATATGGTGTCAGATACAAAATTCAACTAAAATTGAAGTATTCAACATGATACAACACCCTTATACAAGTATTCAGGTATCTTAAGGGGAGAGGAAGATAAGCTTACAAGTTACCACTTACCAGGTCACCGACTAAAAGGTCTGTCTGATAACAGCTGTAAAGTGGCTGAACTGAATGACTTATTGCTGTCTCTTTTGGTGGACAAAATAATTAAATAATAAAATATTTGAGGCCATAAGCATTATTTGGATAAAAATGAAAAACTGAACCAAAATTTTCAGTTTCGGTTAACAGAAAAAATGAATTAACCAATATATATATAGATAGATAGAGAGAGAGAGAGAGAGAGAGAGATGGTACCAGAAAAACTGGTAGCCAATAGCCAATCAACAGGTATCAAAAAAGTGGTAACCATTCAGGTGGTTATTTATCAAATTCATAGGAAGGGATTTGATTGGTCAAAGCCCTTCCAGTATCATGTCCTTCCTGCAGCATTGATTTTTCCATAGTAATATAAAGAGCAGTCCAGTGTACAAGGCTCCCACAAATGCGGGGTCTGGGGGAGGGACAGATGTATACAGCCTTACCCTTGCACATACAGAGAGGCTGTTTCCAAGATTTGAACCCTGGTCACCCAGGTCGCAATGGAGCAACCCAACCATTGCACCAAGGCTCACCCTCATTTTTTCATATTAATCTCTCTCTCTCTCTCTCTCTCTCTCTCTCTCTCTCTCTCTCTCTCTCCATACATATATATATTATATATATATATGTGTGTGTGTGTGTGTGTGTATGAAACTCAGTATCAGTTTTAACCTAAAACCAAACTGAAAATTCGGTTTTGGTTATTCCAGTTTATCAAAAATTCGGTTCAGTTTTGTTTTCTCTTACAATTTCAGTTTCTTTGCCTCGGTTTTTAACCAAATAAACCGAATGCTTACCCCTACCTAACTTTAACTTCAGCTTCTAAGGAGCTCACAACCTGCTCAATAAAATATTCACTAAAAGGCAAAGCAATATGTCATTAAGTTCAGTCACCTCAGCTGTTACAGAATGACCCCTAAATAATAAAATATGCATATGACATGGCTTCTTTTTTTCTTTTCTTTGCTTCTGTTTGTGTATCTTTCCTTTTTCTTATTTTGTTTTTGGGAAGGGGGTGGGAGGGGATGTTCTATGCCTGAATTTTGTATTGGTAGTTTGGTGCTTATAATTACCATTTACTACTTAATCTACCCTCTGAATAAAGTGTGCTAAGGAAAAAGGCAAAACACAACCCCAACTCCAGAGACCAGATTGGGGTTGACAACAAACTCATAAAGAGAAAATTTAGTAGGGGCATGCTCCCCCCTCCCC